CCGCAGACAAAGGTGGAGGCAAAGGTGGAGCCAAAGGCAGAGCCAAAGGCGGAGCCGAAGGCAAAGGTGGAGGCAAAAGCGGAGACTAAGATAGATGCCGAGGGTGATGCAAAGGCAGCTGAGCAAAGCAACAAGGACCTCGGTTTGTGTACACAAACTCATGCGGCCCCTGTCAGATTGAATGCCAATGCTAGACTTAAAAGTCCCAGTCACAATGGAACAGTATTCTAACTAATTGTTTGAGCTGTTCTGCAGCCCTTGAGACTGAAGACTGTTGCGCCACCTGCACACGCAAAGGACACATCTCTCTCAGTCACTGCATCGCAACCAAGTGAGTCCTCCCAGCCGTCCACAAAAGAGAAGGAAGAGCAAGGAAAGAAAGCCGAAGAGGAGATCTTGCTTCTGGCTGTTTGGTTTTGCTTTCTTTTTTAGATTCTACAGGTTCTCGTCTCACCAGCGCAGGAAGTCCAACGGGAGACAAGAAGCTGGCTGCAAAGGTACTTTTAAATTAAAGAGTTGTGGACCATAGTGGAACAGGATGCGACATCGCGAAGGCCTTCACCACCTGTTGTGAGGGCACCAAATCCCTCGAGCTTGCACGTGCTGTTCCCGAGCTCGAGAGTCCTGAAATAAGGACATGGTGCGAACAAGAGTGCGACATCGGTGCGGCAGATTTTAAGAGCTAGCCTTGTTACTAGTAGCGTCCTTGCTACTAGTAATGAGCCTCCAACCTAATAGCGATGGCCTCCAACCTAGTAGCTTCCAGCTACTAGTAGCTTCTCGTTACTAGCAGCGATGGCCTCCAACCTACTTGCGATGGCCTCCACCTAGTAGCGTCCTAAATACCGCTCTAGGAGCCGTTCACTTGCGATGGTCCCTGCAGGCAAGCTGGTTGCCATCCAGCAAGTTGGAACACCACCCGCTGGGTAATTATGTGATCCTGTGACTAGAGGCACAGATGATGCTCACCTCAAAGGTATTTGGCTTCAGTGGCTTCACACTGCTGAAAGAGAGGTTGATCACAGCAAATATGGCCTAGGTCCTAGGTGCTGCTACAAGGGTGCGTCACTTGCAAAATGGTCACACCAGGCCCCATTCATTGGCACATCACGGTATACGTCGTTTCATTCGTTTCACTTTCACAGATCGAAGTCAACGCATTCAACACATTCTCGCTTCTCCTCCCGAAGTGTTCATTGACCGTGGGTGGTGGGTGAGACCAGTGGGTGGTGGGTGGCCTACCTTCTCCTCGCTTCGCAATGGTGCCATGGGCTGCGGTGCATCAGTGTCCCAAGGAATAGGCGGGCTCACTGTGGGTGTCGAGGAAAGATAGGAAAGCCCAAACTTGTTCCATGGGATTTAATGTCTCCAGAAGCCGGAGAAGGGTCCCAGAGGGTTTTCAGAGGAGGGTCCTTTGTCTCGGATTCTTGCGGCTGACAGTTGCACTCAATGTTGGGGAGGAGTCGCGGAGCACTGCGACGCCAGCACTTCCAAGAGATTCCATGACACTGACGAACCTCGAACCACTGAAGCATCCATTGAGGCAAGCAGTGCTAAGCAGTAAGCAGCTGGAAGATCATTTAGCACGGTGTTGTGCTAAACTCAGACGCTACTGACATATATATATATATATATCTATCTCAGCAATTTGGGCATTGGGTATGGCAACCTATCTTCACAGGCGCCGTGAGCAGGCAAGTGGTGTTTCTTTTTGAATGCCAGGCCTGCTAGGACCTTGATGTGGGAAAGCGTTTGGCAGTCTAAGGTGCATAATTACCGGTCCTTTTGTTGGCCCTTTGTCCTCAGCGTAGTCAATGCATTCATGCGCCATGTGATGCAGGCATCTCAAAACGCGTCGGAGGATGGGACGAAGTCGACGAAGAGTGCTGGGACGGCAACTGAGCCCCTAAAGCCCAGTAAGGCCAGGAGCCCCTAGTAGCTTCTTGCTCCTAGTGGTAAGGTCAGGAGCCCCTAGTAGCGTGCTTCTAGTAGCGATGCCAGGAGCCCCTAGTAGCGTCAAAGCCGCAGCCGAAGTCCGCGAAGCCTGAAAAGGCCACAGGCCAGCGTGAAGCTTCCCAGTGGGCTGATCAATGCATTCTTGAGAGATCTTGAGAGTGTAGGTAGGGGTGGTCAAGGCCAAAATTTCCTGGAGAAAGCACGCTACTAGGGGCTCCTGGCCTTTCTACTAGGAGGAAGCACGCTACTAGGGGCTCCTGGCATCGCTACTAGGAATTTGCGCTTTGTGGGATTGTTCATGGTGGAGGTGCCAACAGCTTTGCGCGGCTCTTCCGGAGCTACAGTGAGGAGAAAGGCACAATCTGAACATAGTGACATAGTCATAGTGATGATGCGACTCAGAGCCATCATAGTCCAGATCTCTCGAAGAATCCATTGGGAGAGATATGAAATTACAATCATGGTTGGTTTTTTTGAATCCACAGCAGACAGTTGGGTGAAGGCGACTGGGGCAGACCGACGTCTCGTCCCCAGTACGACCCGCTGATGGATGAGATCTTTGAGGTGAAGGAGCGTGAGCAAGCTGAGCGACAGCGTGAGCCGCTGGTTTCGCCCAAATACGTTCCTATGGCCAAAAAGAGCCCTCCACGCCTGTAAGGGCAAGGGTGTGTGTGTTGTTTTTCTCCCAAAGTGCATGAAGTTCTGCTTTCGCGCACTGAATCAAATTTTGGGATTTGCCGTGCTTGGGTACTGATAGCATATGAGTTTGCACTCTTCACCGTCCTGAGCAGTCTTCGAGGTGATGCGTGCAGCAGAGATCCTGGGAGTGGACCTTTTGGAGGAACCCTTCCTGGTGCCCCTGCTCAAGAGCTCCCTGCCGTCCTTGAGCAACGCATACCAAAGAGGTGGCCTACAGGAGGAGGGATCCGGGAGGGGTCACGCAAGAGGTCACTAGGCTCTGCTTGCTACAGAGCTGGTGAAGTTCCGGAGGGATTTGGAGGATGTTTCACGTCAAGAGCCAGGTGGACCATGTGGTAACCTTTTCATGACAGACAAAGAGCATCAAAGAGCAACTTCCCTTGCAGACCGCTGCGTGTGAGAGGAGCTCTTCTTGGTGGAGGTGGCTTTGGCCAAAGAACGCCAAGCCCGACAGTACCAGGTGCTGAAAGATCTCAAGGTCCTGCGACAAGACATTTCAAAACTTCCAGCCCCCTTGATCAGGAAGTGCCACGGGAGCTTGGCTGTGAGGACCCCTTGCACCCACAGCACGTATAGAGAGACACAGAGAGAGTAGGAAGGTGTCAGCCTAACAAGCTATTGTCAAGCTTCCAAAGTGGTTTGCCGTTCACAGGAATGTGGCGAAGCTGCCATTGACTACTGTCCAGCATGTGAAGGTTTCCACACTGCCGGGAGTTGTTGAGTTGTCAGTCTTCATGAACAAGTCTTGCTGCCATTTATTCCATTGTGTTAGGTTGGAGGCCATCGCTATTAGGTTGGAGGCCATCGCTAGTAGGTTGGAGGCCATGGCTAGTAGGTCGGAGGCCATCGCTAGTAGGTTGGAGCCATCGCTATTAGGTTGGAGGCAATAGCTATTAGGTTGGAGGCCATCGCTAGTAGGAATGAGGCGCTATTAGGTTGGAGGCCATGGCTATTAGGTTGGAGGCCATCGCTATTAGGTTGGAGGCCACCGCTAGTAGGTAGCAGTAGCAGTAGCAGTAGGAGTAGGAGTAGGAGTGGGGATAGCAGTAGTAGTAGCAGTAGTAGTAGTAGCAGCAGTAGTAGTGGTAGTAGTAGTAGTAGTAGGAGTAGTAGTAGTAGTAGTGGTAGTGGTAGTGGTAGTGGCGCCGTAGTTAGTCGTCGTCGTCGTCGTCGTCATGGTGGTGGTGGTGGTAGTAGTAGTAGTAGCAGTCGTAGTGGTAGTCGTCGTAGTCGTAGTCGTAGTCCTAGTCGTAGTCGTAGTCGTAGTCGTAGTAGTAGTAGTAGTAGTCGTAGTCGTAGTTGTAGTCCTAGTCGTAGTCGTAGTCGTAGTCGTCGTAGTAGTAGTAGTAGTAGTCGCAGTGGTAGTAGTAGTAGTAGTAGTCGCAGTGGTAGTAGTAGTAGTAGTAGAAGTAGTAGTAGTAGTAGTGGTAGTAGTAGTAGTAGTGGTAGTAGTGGTGGTAGTAGTAGTAGTGGTAGTAGTAGTGGTAGTAGTGGTAGTAGTGGTAGTAGTGGTAATAGTGGTAGTAGTGGTAGTGGTAGTAGTGGTGGTAGTGGTGGTGGTAGTGGTAGTAGTGGTGGTAGTGGTAGTGGTGGGTGTAGTGGTGGTAGTAGTAGTAGTAGTAGTAGTTTTGGTCGTAGTGCTAGTAGTACTAGTAGAGTGGGCTTTAATTATGGAACGCTTCTCTATTGTGGACAGGTTGGCTTTACAGCAAAAAACAAACGCCCGGGAAGGTTGAGCCCAGGACCAACTTTCTAGCCTGGCCCTTGACTGCAACGTGGAAATATGACATGTGCACGCCTTTCAGCTGTGGCTTATTTTTTCCTTGCGCCGCAAAACCAAAAAGCGGGGGACACCAGGACCTGTTAGACAATGGAGAGAGTGCAATGCTTGGAGGTGACTCAGTCCTCACTCACTCTCCAGAGCACATAGAGGGACCAGCAGGATTTGTTAGACAATGGAGAGAAGGAATGTGTGGAAGTGCCTCGATCCTCAAGCATTGCACTTCGGGGCCCATCCTCTGGTGACTGAGACATTCTTTGCTGAGGACCAGGAAGCCGAAGCCACTTTGCTCAGTTTGTCCTGGCTGGTGTTTTTTTGTTTTTGTGGTTAAGGAAAAACATTAGCCACAGCTGAAAGGCAAGCAGACTTCATACTTCCATTCTGCAGTCAAGGGTCAAATCTTAACCCAGAGGTGCTGGGTTCAATCCGTCCTGGGTGTTTTTTGCTTTAAAACTAACATGTCCACAATAGAGGCGTTGTTGTGTGGTAGTCGTCGTAGTAGCAGTACTGGCAGTAGCAGTAGCAGTAGCAGCAGTAGGAGGAGTACTACTACGAGTAGTAGTAGTGGTAGTGGTAGTGGTAGTCGTAGTGGTGGGGTGGTGGTGGTGGTGGTGGTAGTGGCAAGGTGGCAGTAGTCGTAGCTGGTCGTGGTAGTGGTAGTGGTAGTGGTAGTGGTAGTAGTAGTAGTAGGAGTAGGAGTAGTAGTAGTAGTGGTAGTAGTGGTAGTAGTGGTAGTAGTGGTAGTAGTGGTAGTGGTAGTAGTGGTAGTGGTAGTAGTGGTAGTAGTGGTAGTGGTAGTAGTAGTAGCAGCGCAAGGCAAGGATAAGCCAGCAAGGCTGCAGATTGTAGTCCTGTTTATATTTGCAGGGGTGGCAGTTTAAAGGGGCACCCTTTGAACATATTTTTTTATATATTTCTTTGATAGGGTTTTAATAAGGGAACTTAAGGCTTTTGGCTAGCCAGTGTTTTTGGAAATCATAAAAGTTCCACAAAAGAAGAAAAAAGAAAACAATATATCAGAAGAAGAAGATAGGAGAACTTAAAAGTAAAAGGTAAAGAGAACAAGGCAAGGATAAGCCAGCAGGGCTGCAGGGGGATTGGTTCTTGTAGGTTCGTTTATAATTTGCAGGGGTGGCAGTCTAAAGGGGCACCAATTGACACATAATTTTTCTATTTGGTTGATAGGGCTTTAATAAGGGAACCTAAAGTTTTTGGCTAGCCAGTTTTTGTGGGAAACATAAAGGTTCCACAAAACAAGAAAGAAGAAGGAGAAAAAGATAGGAGAACTTAAAAGGTAAAGAACAAGGCAAGGATAAGCCAGCAGGGCTGCAGGGGGGTTGATTATTGTAGATTTGTTTATTGTTGCACGGGTGGCAGTCTAAAGGGGTACCCTTTGAACATCATTTTTTCAATTTCTATGGTAGGGCTTAAGTAAGGGAATCTAAAGTTTTTGGCTAGCCAACGTGTTTGGAAATTTGATTGTCAAAGATAAAAACACACAACAGGAAAAAAATCAAGAAACATAACAACAATCATCTGAAAGCATTCTGCTTGCGCAATTAAACGTAGTATTGCAATTTTCTGGCAGGCAACACATCTATACTTTTTAATTGACGTGAATTAATATTCATAAACGATTTTTCAAAAAACCAATTTTGGGGTCTGGATGTTCGCGCAATTAAAAGTAGTATTGCAAATTTCTGGCCGGCAAAACATAGATTTTTATTGATGCATGGTTTACTAAGGGAGCTTAACATTAGGTTGGAGGCCATCGCTGGTAGTTGGAGGCCCTCGCTATTTGGTTGGAGGCCATGGCTATTAGGTTGGAGGCCATCGCTAGTAGGTTG